CATGATATCACATTAATACAAATACATACATGACATCCGTCAAGGTGAACACACACACGCCCTACAGGGACAAAGAGCGAGAGAGTCTTTTGATTCCCCACATTCTTGTGGATAATATATTAGTCATTAAGTTTGCACAATGAAGTGTCTTCAGTTACATTCACGCACTCACATGCACACATGCACACACACAAACTACCTGATGCACTAGGTAAACTCTGAAACTCAGCACAGTAAGAGCTCAGCACTCACAGCCTGTTGACTCCTTATTTATATCAGACACAAAGCTGAATCCGTTCTACATACTGATGTAATGTGTTCACATTAGAAAAATGACAAAATGAGATACATTCCAGCCTGACAGCATGCATGCTGCAGTCGTTGGACACTATTCTCCTACAATGCAATGCACAAAAGAAATGAAGGAGGTGCTAACATCTGAAAGAAAGGGTATAGTCTACTTATTTGGTCATTTTCTGACTCCAAAATGTGTTAGTCACACCCATGTTAGGAGTTTGTGCTTCTGATTTGACTTAGTTTCATAAAAATAACTGATACTGATACTGAAATACTGATGTGAGACCAGTGCACCAGGTCAGATCGGGGAATAGGACATCAGTTGAGGACAAAATACTTGTGTCTCTCCTGATTAATTTTATTTTCTAAATCTCCCCATTATCACTTTCACAGGATGTTATCAGAACATGTGTGTCTGACCTTTGCTCTGCCTATTATTAGATGCTGTTAATATAAATGACTCAGAGACCGAAACTATTCTGCAACAGAGAAGTTTTCTAGGATTTAAATTATTTATCTCCTGGCCTTAAACCCATTTTTTGCACTAAACACCACAGTATATGACCTGGGCTCAGGGCCGCCGCTTCCACTGAGGACACTGAAGTCATGATCTCCGTATATTTTTCTGGGAATTTGTGGGAGGGATTGCAAGCCTCTAGGGGTGGGACGAAAGTCCATGAGAGTTTACATAAACACTCACATGTAATGAGTATGGCTGATTCCATGGTTTTCACCCAATACATTTAAAAAGTCCTTATCCCTTTATTTGTACAGATATGACAGAAAAGAAGAGAGAGAGAGATGGTGGACTGTGCTGACGAGGTTTGGACTCTCATTTTTCTTCAGAGCTTCGGCCCTGCCTGAGTTAACTGCTGATGTGTGAGTGTTAATGACCTTTCACACCTCCTGTAAACTGTTCTGATAAAAGCAGCAACTTAAAAAAAAAACACGACTTAAAGCACGTTACCCTAAATACTGAATGCCATCGAATCTACCATGAAGACTGTATGTGTGAAGAAACCATGCCTGTGTCTCTGACCTATAGGCCTGCTGAGCTCAATGTGCTGGAAAGTTAAAACTCCTCATTTAAAGATTTAGCCAGTGAGCGCTAACTCGCTGGCTGTGATGTTAGTGTGAAATTTTCTGGCTTCAGCCCCAAACTTTCAGAGTTAATTTGTATAAAGAGCAATGTCTGCAGGATGCCTTAGGGAAAGGTCTGTGTGTGTGTGTGTGTGTGTGTGTGTGTGTGTGTGTGTGTGTGTGTGTGTGTGTGTGTGTGTGTGTGTGTGTGTGTGTGTGTGTGTACTGCAAATATGATGTCTGATGAAAGCAAAACATCAAATTGCCATTTAAAACAAAAGTCAGATACATAACACGTAGACAGGATTTTGTCTTCCTGCTTTCATCTACCTATGTAAGTCTAAGCTTTGAGTAGGTCAGATGTTTTGATCATTGTGATAGAAAAAAAACTCAGAGGAGCTATCCCCAATGTTATTTTTGAAAAATGTGTGCCAGGCCCAGCAGGCCCCGCACGTCAATGTAACATCAGAAAGGACTCTAAAGACTCTAACTTCGGACACATTACATTTTGTTTGGAAGTGAAAATTGGGTAGACCTCAAAACCAAACATTGGCTAATGGACATTGTAACGTTTAGGAGGCGTCAGGTTTTGATCATGACAGGAGAGTCGGCATTTTTTATATCAAGATGCCGTTGGCATGAGATGTTTGGAAGCGTTAGATTTTGGCTACTTAACACACACAAAAAAAAAAAAAAATCAACGTCAGCTTTTTTCAGTATTCTACATCAAATTAACATCAGACGTTGTCATGATTGTTTTGGTCATCCGATGTCATAAACTACATTCAACCAAACATCAACGTCTAATGACGTCGGTGGCCAGCTGCGTGTCTGCAGGGAGACCCACGTACATTTTAATTCTGTCCAAATCTCAAGACAGAGATTAAAAATTGTTCTAACCAATCCCAAAGATGTAGTTTTGAAAAGTTAGAAAACAGTACAGTATAGTACATACTTTGTGAATTTAGCAAAATGACACACTTATATAATGTAAAGTTTTCTGACTTGTCTCTGCAGTGTCTGCAGTTCTCCCTGAGTCATTTCTGACACAGAAACACAGTTACAGCGACTCACCCGACCTGACCGGCTCTCCATTATGCTCCCATCCTGCACTGTAATACATCACCTCATCTCATGCTCCAGTTCTCATGCAAACAGAGCTGGCTAAGCTTTAGGAGATGTGTGTTCAGACTTGAAAGGTTTATACCTATAGTAATATTGAAGCCATCCATGAAATAACAGCTGTCATATCGTCACTTTCTTGCTTCAACAGCCAGCTCCTCAGCAGCACCCAGCAGTGCGTTACCTTGCTTTTCTACCACCTCAAGATTCGTTAGCAAGACTGCCCATGCCTCTGGTGACTTTGTGTTTTAAACATTCTTATCAGAACATATTTTATGCCTGACTGCCGGTAATGTTGAGGTTCCTGACAGCGATACGATCAGGGCTGACTTGCTTGATGCCTGACTTTCAGTCTACGCACACACAAAACAATGAGCTACAATGTGGATGAGCTGTAGAGCTGAGTGATGACTCTGTGGGTTTAGCAGTAGTATAAACTATTTCACTTCATATGGAGTTATTTAATTCAGTGTTAATACCAAAAATCTTGCTCAGTGGATCTTTACCTGGAAATGTGTTGTGAAGCTGTGCTGTGGTTGCCTGTAGTTTAATATAAATATTCAGGTCAGTATTTAACCTGTCAACACAAACTGTGATTGAGGTGTGCTGAAACATGCCTTCAATAAACACCTGCCAGCAAATCAGAAACAAGTATTTTCTGTGGCTATGAGTGAAAAATGCTGTGCATTAAATTACACAATCTGTTTCACTGTTTGCATTGTAATTATGTCTCCCTCCCCCTGTAACAGTAATGCATTTCTGTATGGGAAGAGCTCGTTCCTTGTTCGCCCTACACACAGAGAGAAAGCAAGAGAGAGAGAGGGGGGTGTTATCCGTTACGAATGTGTTAAACGTTTGTTTCGCCTGAGTCAGTCTGATCGGGTATAAGTTGTCAAATGAGTAATTAACATAGGAACCCCACAAATTGCAGATATTGTGCTTTCAGTCAAACTCTTCTATTATTTATGCCATCACACCTCAATGTCAATGTCAGGCAACCTCAAATTTCTCAAAATCTTAGTACACTTGTGCATACCACTTGCTGAAAATCAATAATTTTTTATTACACATGACCATGACTACTGTGTAAATCAGAATTCAGTGGCAGAATGTAAGTCAGTACATTTACTTAAGCTTTAGCACTTGAACCATACGCTACTTCATTCTTCTGTACTGCATTTCAAGAGCTAAATGTTGTACTTTTTACTCCACTAAATGTAAAATTACTAGTTATAAGTAGGAACACATGCGCAGTCTGATGCAAGCCAGTGTGACTGTCTGCCATAAAGTCCACTTTTAAGATGACTACAATGTTCATTTTTTGTTGTCAAAGAGGTGTTAACTCGATGATGATGTGTTTTAATATTGAGGTCAAAGTTCATGAACTGATAATAAAGTAAAAAATTAGCTCTACTTTCCACCCAAAATTAAAACATTGCTTACACCTTCCATACACAGTGATGCATCAGTAATGCCTGTAAATGAATACTTTTACTGTAATTTGCTGATAATGCATATGTACTACTTATGTGCAATAGGAGTGATACCAAAAAATGGATCCATCAAATGAGCACATGAAGACTCATCTTAGAGCTGTGGTATTTGCAGCTCTGCTGCTGTGTGTGTGTGTGTGTGTGTGTGTGTGTGCGTGCGTGCGTGTGTGTGTAATTAGTTGCTTTATTAATTGTTAATAAATAATTTATTAATGCTTTACAGATCAGTTATGAGCTATTGATAAGCTGCAGCTGCAGACTTGATGGATTATTGTAGAATCCTTTATCAATTATTTATTAACATTAATAGGAGGCTGGCTAAATTTTGCTGATGGTTTATTACATCGTTGGAAACCCATAAATTTATAAGTGGATATTGGTCCAGATGTGCTGCAGCCCGTTTCCAGAAGATAAGTGGTCAAACACTCCATAGGTGGGTTCTCACCAATGAATTTAAGAGCCACCTAAAAGGACAAGTGTCATGGTGGAGGAGGATCTGGCACAATCTGGCTACCCATAATTCTTTATTGATGATAGTCGATATCTGATCTATAAACCATTAGTGAATTATGTATAAACCAATAATAGAGCCAGAATAGCTCATAATCTCTCATAATAAATTGTACCTTATCAGAAAAAGGCAGACTACCTATTAAACACACAATAGGCTGGACCATACAGTTGTATTAGTTCCACACTGCTGCTGTTGTTAAGGATAATAACTGTAATGGCTTGAAAAGTTCCCGCTTTTTGTCTCCTCCAAACTTGAAATGAAAATTGCAACATACACACACACACACACACACACACACACACACACACACACACACACACACACACACACACACACACACACACTGGACCACCCCGCCCCGGTCCCGCCCAGCGGCCCGACCCCGTGGAGAACAGACAGTGGGTCATGTGACAGAAGCAGTTTCTAAACGACAAAAACGGAGAGACACACACAGACACACACAACGAACACACACACACACACAGAGAGAGAGAGAGAGAGAGAGAGAGAGAGACAGAGTGGGAGAGAGAGTTTCGTAACTCAGGGAAGTTTGGTGGAGCCATCGATCACCGGAGCGTCTTGTTTTCGCGGAGCCTGATGTCAGTGACACGGCGGAGGGCTGATCGTCGCCTGCGTCACTTTTTCACCGGAGCTGCCTGATTGAGTTTCTCACCGAGAGGGAGCTTTTGCCGTTCAGCAAGGCAGCTGTGAAACTACCGTCTCTCCCCCAGGAACAGACTGTATCCTCCATCTGAGAAGTAAGTCCGACACTGAGATCTGCCTCTAATGCTCCTGCGGGGACTTGACAGAGTGACCGGGCTGTTTCATAAGCTGACCCCGCCGGCACACTGTTCTTATTTCCTCTCGGATGTAGTGCGGTAAAGTCTGGAAGTGCTGCCTGCTCTTTTAAAAGTTTGATGTGTTGTTGTGAGTAGACATGTTGTGTTTGTGTGTTGTGCAAACTTTATTGTGGGACAGAGAAGAGGTCCATAAATTCTGACTTGTGGGTCTAGTTAAATGAGATCAAGCTGCTTGTGTTGTCAAAGTTGTTTTTATGACAAACCTCATATTTTTGTGTGTTTGCTGTGTCCGGGACTTTTTTCGCTTATTTCTAGGTGTGAAAATGAAGAAAATCTGCGCCTTTCCTAAATGTATTGATAATTAATGATATTAACACTGGCTGATAACTGATGTAACAATGAGACAGTGCTATTTTTTAACTTTATATAGGCTATAACATATTATTGTTTATTAGCTGAAATAAAAAAAGTGGTCACAAACGGGTTTACGAGGGAGAGAAAGAGGCTCTGTTATAGTGATCAGCCTGTAGAGCTGTAGCTTCTGTTTTTGACATTTAACACTGTGACCTCTTGACATTTCAATTTGGTTTAGAGGTAAATATTTATTAAAAGATAGAAGAAAGTAGGTAATTATGATATATGAAAGGTTAGGGCTTGAATAATATATTGGTACATTGTTCAATGTTTGGTCTATGAAATGTCAGAAAATAGTTTGAAATGCCTATTACATGTTGTGAGGGCCCAAGGTGTCTCATTTCATGTCTTATGTCCAAAATGTAAAGGTATTCAATTTAAAAATGATATAGATATAACTGATTAAAAATTATAATTATATAAATGTTACTTTAGAAACTGGAACAAGGGTGTGTTTGTCATTTTTGCTAGAATAAACAGCTGAAAGGATTCATTGATTATCAAAATTGTTGCTGGTTTTCAGTCATTGGACTCGTCAGCCAGTTAATTAACAGCTGTGGATTGGGTTTTGATCCTTGCCGTCAGTAAAGTCTGAATCAGCTGCGGAATCAAGCGGTGGTGAGAGAGTGAGAGACAACCCTCAGTGTTGCTTCATAGTGTCAGAGCTGAGTGCAGTGTGATACACTGAGAGGAGTATATTTGACAGGTGTGTGTGTGTGTGTGTGTGTGTGTGTGTGTGTGTGTGTGTGTGTGTGTGTGTGTGTGTGTGTGAGAGAGAGGGAAAGATTCAAACACTCAGTCACACCTGATTCTCTGCCTGTCCTCATTTCACTACATCCTTTACAATACACATCTCTTTCTCTGTATGTGTGTGTGTGTGTGTGTGTCTGTGTGTGTGTGTGTGTGTGTTTCTCTCTGTCTCTGTCTCTCCCTGTTTCCTGTGCTTTGTTTCAAGGCTGAGGCTTGCGTCACACATTCCACTTGGCATATGAAGCCCTTATCCTGTTTAGAGCCTGGAGTGAGAGAGAAAGAGGGAGAAAGAAGGGAGGAGAGAGGGATGTGGATGTGGGGGGTGGATGGGTGGAATGAGGGCGATCTCTCTCTCTTTCTCTCTCTCTTTCCCTCTCTCTGCCTCTCTGTCTTACTTTATGCTCTTCTCTCTATAAAAGTTTAAAAAAAAAATAAGAAAAAGATGTGCTGACCCCCTGTTTTTTATTATTTATTTCTTATTTATTCGTCTCTCATTAGGACAGGAGACACACACACGCCCCAAATAACCCACCCACCCCTACACCTCTTTTCCTGAATCAACATGCTGATGTTATCTGGTGGAACAAAATGCGCAAGAGTGTACACACACACACACACACACACTCTCACACACTCTCTCACACACACACACACACACACACACACACACACACACACACACACACACACACAGACTGCTCAAAGGGCATGTCCTAGAGAACATTAGGGCTAAACATTAAACTCCTGGATGCTGAAGCGTTGGTGATTCTCCATTAGAAGTTGAGGAAATAAGGACACTGTGGTCCACAGGCGGCCATAAACTTAAAAAGCTGAAACTCGTTACACAACTTCACATGCGTGCCAGCACATGCACGCACTCACACAGTCATGTAAAAGCACATACACACACACACACACACACACACACCCTTGTGCAGTGTGTCTGTTACCGCTCTCAAACCACTGGATTGGGCCACTGTGACTGTGTAGCTCTACCCCCCCTCCCCCTCCCCCCCATGTTTGAGGTCCATTGAAGTTTTGTCATATTTTGGTTGAAACCCACTTCGTTTTCTTCCCCGCTTCTGTCTCTGTCCTGTTCTTTCCACTTCCATTTTGACATAGTTTGGTCAGAGCGGCTGTTTTCTTTGCCCTTTCTCTGCTTCCACCCCCCACCCCTCCGTCTTCTCATTCTTCGGGTAGGGAGGTGCAGTGTGTTGGGGGGAGCTGGTGCTGGTGGGGTGGGGGGGGGGTCAGACAGGAAACCGCAGGCCCCCTGCAGCAGCACCCCCCATTTGGCTTCACTCTCCTCCTCCTCCTTCTCTTCTTTACACCCCCCGACCCATCACGCAGTGTGGAAATAATAACAGTCAGACTAAACTCTGAGGGCTTCCGCTTCTCTCTCTCTTTCTCTCTGGCTGCCTCTCTCTCATTCCCTCCGTCCTCAGTTGTCTGGAAAGCTTCAAAACTCTGCTCTCTTTGACAAGTTCGGCTTGAGGTGCATGTACGTGTGTGTGTGTTTCTTTGTCAGTGTTTGAGCCTTATGTCAACTCCAGTGTGTCTTAAAATGTGTGTATCCATGTGTGTGGATGTGTGTGTGATGATGGATCCTGTTTCCTCTCCCCCTTCTGATGGCCCCCTCTGGCTTCCCCCCGAGGTCTGCAGGCCTGCAGCCCCACAGTCTGCTGGAGAGGAGCAGAGAGGGACTACGTGCCTGTATATGTATGTGTGTGTGTGTTGGGGGGTGTAAAAAGGATGGGAGGCGTGGGCTAGGCAGCTCAGATGAGGGAATAGGAAGCCAAAATAAGAGGATAGGGGGCTTCAGCAGGGGCCTTAAAGTGAGAGGAGTCAAAGTCAGAGCATGTGAGGCATTATTAGGGGAGTCAGGAGTAGGAAGTGAGGTAAGGGGGTGAAATGAGCGAGTATGGAGGTACTCTTGGGGATGAGAGCTTGAAAGAAGGAGTAAATTCAAATGGGTTGAGGGCAACAGAAGGAGCGTGAAGCAATTAGAAACTACACTGGAAGTGAGCTCAGGAAAAGGAAAAGTTAGATGCTGGAATATTAGCTCGTCACCTTTATGAGTCATGTAATGGGATCTTAAATTAAGTAAGGATTGATTTTAATTAAGACTAGCCACATCATTCCCTGAGGGGTGTAAATAGGTAAGACGTGTACATAATGTACATGACGTTCTTCTCTGTAAGCTGTGTTGTGTGTAGTGTGGCTGTGTGAGTCAGGTGATTTGTGATCAACATGACAGTCATGGTGTAAGAGAGCAGAGGACCGACAGAAAGTGACACTGATGAGGTAAAAAAGGTGATAGAGAAAGAAAAGTAAAAGAGTCGAGAGCAGGGAACTCAAGGCTGTAAGTGTTAAGTGTGTGTGTGTGTGTCTGCATGTGTGTCTATTGTGGCGTGTTCTTGGACAAAGCTGTTGTCTGGAGGTTTCTGGTCTCTCTGGTGATCTCATCTTCTCCAGCCTGTTGCCATTAGAGTGTGTGTGTGTGTGTGTGTGTGTGTGCATCTCCGTTTGTGTCTGTGTATGTTTAAGCATGTGTGCGTGTCTGTAATAATTTAGTCCTTTAGTGATTTAGTGTGTGTATTCTGTTGAGCTAGCAGAAACTTGGTGTGCGGCTGTGAGTGTGTATAAGTACGTGTGTGTGTGTGTGTGTGTGTGTGTGTGGTTGAGTCGGTAGCCAGGGGCTCCAAGCCACAATATTTTCCCCTTCAGTCATGTTGTTTTATATCATTCATAGAGAGGGAGAGAAAAAGAGTGCGGTGTGGTGCGTGTGGTTCAGATAAATACAGTAGTAGAGACATGAATGATTGTTGAGGAGCGAGTGAAGAAGACGAGGTGTAGAAGAAGATCTGGAGTCCGGGGGGGGGGGGGGGGGGGGGGGGGGGGGTGGAGTGGATGGAGGAAGTGTTTGCTGAGTGGGTTGGGGTTGAGTACACAGTAGCTCTACTGACCTAGAAGGACAATATTTGCAGACCACACTTGACATGCACAAACACACGCCCACATGTAGTGCACAGGGAGAAAATACTCCTCAACAACCCAGGTAGGGCGACTTATTTACCAAATAGGTGCAGTGCACACTGGTTCCTTCACTGCACAGCATGCACTCAACTTCTGCTAATGCTCCGATGAAGCAGAGGTGCAACAGCTGTCTGATCTCTGTTTAACAGAAAGTGGTTGTTGTCCTCCAGGAGGTCAGTTTGACCTGATACAATATTCATTCAGTCAGAGGATCAGAGCCACTAGGGCTGCAACTAACAATTATTTTTAACATTTCAAAACTGAAGATCAATTCACTAATTTACCATCAATTTACCATCAATTCACCATCAATTCACCATCAATTTACCATCACATAAGCAGAAAATTGAGAAGCTTAAATTAGGTTATGTTTGATAGTTCTGCTTGAAAAATCAATTATTTGATTAATTTTCTGTTGAGCAACTAATCGATTAATACTTATTTCAGCGATGAATGCAACACAGATTCAGACACAAACCAACAAGCTCCAGCTGCAGATTGTCTTGTATCTCTCGAGGCCTTATGGTTTTTGGAGTTGTACTGGAGAAGATGCTGTGCGGCAAAATTAAATCTTATTTCCTGCAATTGTCTCAATTTTCTGCAACTCATTGTATTTATTCTTTTATGATCCACCCCGAGGGAAATTTGGACTTTTTCACAAAGATGGTCTCACCCGCTCACCATCCTGTTGTCACATGTTTGCCTGATAACTCTCTTCTGTTCATTTCCCTGTGTGCTAAACCCCAACCACCTGGCAAACACCTCCACATTGATTAAAAAAATAAAAATCAACATTGATAATTTGCTGCTGCTGCTGCTGCTGCTGCTCTGTGACCCAGATCTCTGTCACCATAGCCTAAATTGCCCTGTGTGAATGCAAACCAGTGACAAGCTCATTTATCCTGCTAAACTATAGGTAGCAGGCCAGTGAGGGGAGACGTGTGTGACAGGTGAACTCTGAGAGGAATGGCATGTTCCTACGAGTGCTTAGCTGTTTGTTACAGTTCTGAGATGAACTCACATAATCGAAGGCCTTAAAGTTAATTATTTCATTTTCTTCAGCATGTGAACCTATTGTATATTTGCATAATGCTCCTGAAGACAGGTATACACAGGTTACTCTAAACCTTCCTCCAGCTGAGCCCAGCCCTTCTGTGACAAAAATAATTTCCATTCAGAGTTTAGAGTTTGCCCTGAGTCACTCATGTCTGAGTCAGCAAATATATATCTGTGTTTCAGGGGAGTTTTTGTTGCTGTTGCTGTAGATGGACAGCACCTCATTAATCCCGCCTGTAAGTCACTTACAAAGTCCCAAAGTCACATGTCTTTGTTCACCAGCCTACAGATTTTCCAAAAGGGGAAATGTTTGGTCATCTCCAGATCAGTTCTACGCCTATGGCAACCGGCACTACCTAAGGAAATTAATATTAGCAGTGGTTCATGTGGCTGCCTACAGGCAAAGAAAGGTATTGCCAACAAGTGGCAGCAGTTTCAACAATTCAGAGGCCATTACTTTCCTCGCCTGTAGATGCCGTTCATCAGCTTGTCTACATTTACAGGCTAAAACTACTTTTTTTGCTGAAAGGTGGCACAAGTTGATAGTGTTAAATAATTTGTCCGTAACACCATTAGTGAACTGACAGAAAATGAATCACCATCAACTCTGGTGATTGGTTCATCATTTACGGAAAAAAAGGTCAAATGTTTGCTTTGTGAAGTCTTTTTATTATCTTTATATTGAGTTTCCCTATTTACACATAGCATTTATATGTACACATTTGATAAAATAACATTAATAATGATCAATAATAATCATTCATTATCTGTTTATACACCAGCCTTCACTTATGGATGTTCACAGGAAGAGTTATAGATATTACATTATAATGTGTTATAAACCATTATGTATGTGTACGTATATATTATATATACTGTATGTATATATGTATGTGTATATGTACAATATATGTACACACACATACTTTGTGTATACAAAGTGGGACTTAAAATTTTTATTTTGAACTGTGGGTTTGACAAAACAAGTTTCTGAAGACATTACCTTGCACTCAGGACATGTTTTACTGATTTCTGACATTCATATGACATGATGAATCAATAATAATGTTGAATGTTGTGTGGGCCTGTTTTGCCTCAATGACACTTTGTCTCCATGATTGCAAATATGAAAATATGATTAGTTGTGAGTCAGAAATGCATCTCTTGCAGAAGTCCCACCCTTTTATTACAAGTACTGTGCCTCCCTGCATTACTGTTTCAAAAGCTGAGGGGAAATTTTTAATAGAATCAGAGGATGGAGACAAGAGGGACTTTCACTATACCACTGATTACTCTGAATTTCTTGTTACTGTAGGGAAAAAACCCCAACTTACTGTTCACTGTTCACTTATAAATAGAGAAGCTGAGAAGTTTCTTCTTTTGTCCTTCTCCTGTTTCACGATCTGTTTGTGCTTCATACCCACTCATATTGTCACCTCTGTGTGTGGATCACAACCATAATAGAACAACTGCTTGACCTCCAGTTGAACTACATCACAATGCTAACCTGGATTAAAAAACACACCCTCAAAGACACACACACGCACACATACACAAACACACTCCCCACCTGCCTGCAGTCTCTTTGTTTCTTTGGAGCCAGGCGAAGGGTGAGGCTTTAGTCGTCATGTTCACACCCTTCCTGACCCAGCAAGCAGGCATCCTGCTCTCCCATTGGTCTGCTCCCCATCTGGAAGGTGTGTGTATGTGTGCACGTGTGTGTGTGTGTGTGTGTGTGTGTGTGTGTGTGTGTGTGTGTGTGTGTGTGTGTGTGTGTGTGTGTGTGTGTGTATATGTGTGTGTGTGTGACCTGATTAAAGTCCACAGTCTGGAGACAAGTTAGCCTTTAATTATTAACAAATGGGTAAACACACACACACACACGCACACACACACACACACACACACACACACACAGACTCCCTAAGGGTACATTCTTTGACACTTCATGTTGCTGTAATGCTCCAGTGATCCCACACACACACACACACACACACACACACACACACACACACACACAGACTCCCTTAAACACAATCATTTAGGCAAAAACAGAGTCATCTCAGCTGCACCTGGTTATTCAAAGCTAAGGTAACTGGAACTGGAACCTTTGAAACCTCACACACTTTTGATCCAAACACTTGACAGCCCTCAATAGCTGGTGTGTGCGTTTGTCTGTGTGTGTGTGTGTGTGTGTGTGTGTGTGTGTGTGTGTGTGTGTCTGTGGGTGTGAGAGAGGTTTCACTGTCTAGTCTTTGACACTGAATAGTTTCTAGCCCCATCACACCTGGAACTGGCTGTGTTCTCGTAAAATGTCATGTCGTAAATTTGTCTCTAGCATTGTTTGAAAGTGTCAGCCATTTTCACGACACACCCGCCGTTAAGTGGAGTTTGACAGACAACATTTGTTTGTTAGCATGACAGACAGATTGGCAGTGTGAAAGAGAAGGTCCTCTGGTGGAGATTGTGAAAGTACATAGGAGGAGAAGATGTGAAAAATCTGACAGAAATTTTTTTTTTATGGCTATTGTGTGACATGATTTACTGGAAGTGAGGTCGAGTGTGCTCAGACACACACACACACACACACACACCTCAGACACTTTCCAGTCACTTAACTACAGACCCTTGTTGAGCCTTTTCCCTCTACTTTAGGTGATTTACTTTTCATCCCTTCTCAAGGAGTGTGTGTGTACGTACATGAGTTGTTCAGAAGTTTTGCGGTTTATTTTGTTTTCGTCTGCCGTGGAAATAAACTCCTTTATATAAGTTACTGATGATATTTTTAGAAAAAGCACGGCAAGTGACCAGAGTTATGGACACTGGTGGAACGTAACGGAAGACATTTACTAAAGTAGGCTCCTGTACTTTCGTATAATTTTGAGGTATTTGTACTTTATTTGAGTATTTCCATTTTATGCTGTACTTGATATTTATATCACACTGGACGACAGAGGGAAATATTGTACTTTTTTTTTAATATGATAAAATTATGAAATACAACACCTTTATAAAGATTAAACCAGTGGCCCACAACCTTTTTGGCCTTTGACCCCTCACAAAAAGAGCAGTGTCCAGTTGAGGCCCCTAGTCAGACGACTTCATTTAAACTTGAGCCTTTTTTGAAGGCCACAGAGGTCAAACTCCAATATTTCACAAAAACGGTAAACGTTAGGGAAAAGTCTTAAAACTGAATCCAAATTTATCAAGCAAAAATATGTATTTTCTTTGCTCTGACATCATAAATCATCTCACAACCCCCTGGATTTAGCTTGTGACCCTTACAATAGAGTATTTCTTCAATGTTGTACTGGTATCGTTACTTAAGTAAAGGATCAGAGTATTTCTTCCAGAACTGGTTACGGACCATTACTGGTCTCTGCATTGAACCATACTGAAGAGGAAAGTAAATGAAGAGATTAAAGTGTGAGTTTAGCCTGTAAATGTGTTATTGTGTATTAACTGTGTGTATTGACGTCCCTGTGTGTGTATGTGTTTTATTTTGTAGGAGCTTGGCCTGTGCAGCCATGCTGATGTATGATTACCCTCTGAAGACAGACATGGAGACGGTAAGGCACGTGTGTGTTTGTGTAAATGTAGCTTTGGGTGCTTGTGTGTGTGTGTTGAGTGCTCCTATCATGCCCAGACATGTTTTTGATGCCATACAGTATCTCTGACCTCTACACACACATGCACCTCTTCACACACCTACACATACTCCTGCTACGTGTCTAGACAGAGTGGTTCCCACATTCCAGCTCTTCCTGGACAAACAGGCTTCTGTACAGTGGATATTTGCATACAATGGGTACACACACTGCCAGGCAGAAGGCTAATGAACACACACACAAATGTACTGTACTGTAAGACATAACAGTTATCTGCTCCCAAACAGAAATGGGTTTAAAAATTTTTTTGGCTGGCTGAAGGTGTTTGTGTGGCAGAAACATGTTTTCCCTGTTATTGAATGGAGAACGGAAATTTTTAACTCCCTGCTCTTTTGTCCTCCTTTGCTGCTTCCTTCTCCTGTATCCTCTCTTTCTCTCTCGCTCACAGTCATTCTACTCTTCGTTAGTGAAAACCCCGGAGCCATACAGAGTGATCTTCCCCCATCCCGCCCCCCTCTATCACACGCACATGCACACCTTCACCCAGTCCCACTCCCCCAGCAACCCCACACACACCCAGCTGGAGCCAGTGGACCTGTCACTCAGTAAGCGCTCCTCCTCCAGCTCCTCTTCCTCCTCCCCTCCATGCTCCTCCGCCTCCTCCCCGGCCTCCTCGCGGAGCTCCCCGCCCTCGCCTTACAGCATGGCGAGCCGCGCCTCCCCCCGCTGCTCCCCTCCACACTCCCAGCTGCGCTCCTCGCCCTCCCACGGTGTCCCGCCGCCCAATCCCTCACTTCCGTACCCAACCATGGTGGCTCCTCTCATCAGCTCGGGCTCCGGGGTCATCCAGGGGTCAGGGGTCATGGTGTCTCCAGTCATGGTTCCTTTGTCCGTCCTCTACTCCTCGCCTCTCCACCTGCACCAGCCAATAATGGTGAGCCCACCTGTTGCCTGTGACGACGACCATCATCGAAGCAGAGAGCACAAAACAGGTGAGACCTCATTTATTGTTTTACTCAGTTCAATTTCTACTTCTATTAATTCATTTTAGGTTCATTTGATTTGAGCTTTAACATGAGACAATATATATGTTGGTAAATTATTATACATGAAACAAACAACAATCATTAAGTTACAAAAAATCTTACAAAAATCTGACAAAATAACAAAAAAAACATTAAAATTTACCCAACATATGTCAGACTTTCTTCTTCAATGTACACATACCTTTTACTGAAAATGAAGAAGTGCCTCTCGTTCCTCTATTCTTAGAATAACATTTTAGGCTGATTCTCGTTTCTTAGGGAAGCCATGTTTTTTTGGTTCTTTTTTCTGCGGTCAGCAGAAGGTCATTTAAAGATTTTCAGATATCACCATCCCCGCAATCTGTCATAGAGACAGATACAATTTGAGAATTTCTTTTTAATTAAATAAAAGGAAAAATTATATAGTAGTTATATATATATTTCATTCTGGATTAAAGCAGTGGTCTGACCAACATTGCCATCCTTAAAGCCACACCGCTAGCATGACTAGTTTAAAGATATTGTTGATAAATCCAAATTTAAAACAAAAACCTTAAAATTCTGACCTGTTGCCTGGAAGATTATTAAGTTATTAACAGAATATTAATGTGAGTAAATCTTGACCATACTGACCAGCTCATATCTGCTGATTGTTTTACATCTACCCAGTTCATTCCACGAAGCCCATGGAGCTGCGAGGCGACACCCATGATTTGCACAAGCCAATCAAAACAGAGCCTTGCCCTGAGTTCACTCATGACCCCCTCAGCAGCCATGAGATGAAATCATCCGTCATCAGGATACCACACGAATATGAGTGAGTAACAAACCAATAGACTCATACAGATTTTGAAAGAAGCACCAAAAGTGTCACAAGTTTTAGTGTCTGCTGCAGCGCTTCCCCTTTAACTTTATATGGAAGTGGTGGTCAGAGGGTTTTTTTAAGGCAGGTGCAGTCCCAAGACGAGGGCTGGGTATCATATTAGATTTTTCGATACCAGGATTTAGGTCCTGATATCAAAGCAGTCCTTGATTTGTTACCATAGTGCAATGGTTCTCAAACTGTGGGGCGGACAAGGCTAACGGGCAAGGAAAAAAATGGTAAGCACTTGTAAAATTAATTGAATCTAATTCATGAAGGAACGCTAACCAATAAAGAGTGCTGAACACAATGTATTAAGGCAGCAAAACATTATACACTGCACAAGTTGGACAGATTCTTGACCAGAAAGAAAAGACTCTTGATGAGTGTCCCCAAAAAAGTAGTTTAAATGAAGTCATCTGAACCTCACACATTAGTCCAGTCCAAAACATGATAGAACTTATCTTGCACTCAGGTTTACTGTCATTGTTGCTGGGGATCTGTGTGAATTGTGTCTAAAACTTGGGCAAAGTTTAACTTTTCATGCTACAGTAATTCTTGTGAATAGTTCCCCGGGAAAATGTGCAAAGTCCCAGTCTCTCTGTTTCCTCTTTTGTTTCCTGCAGTGGGAATGTGGGTTAGCAGAAGTTCACGTTAAAATAAGCTCAGAGATGAGTTTCTAATTTACAGAGATAAAACAGTACCAGTAACACAAAAACAACAACAACAACGCGGACACACTGACTCTACTGTATGGTGGGGTGTGTCAGATTCGCTCATTCCTCTGTGGCGCCTTTTATTCTCTTATTTCCCGTCTTGTTTGCACGTCTCGTTGCAGAGTTCATATCAGCCATCTCATTCCTGTCACCTCCTCCATTCCTCTTCACATCTCTCCTTTCTTTCTCCTCCTTCCTTCGCTCGACGCTTCCTGTGTTTTTTAGCGCTCATTGTCCGGCATCTCCCATTCCTGGTTGCCCTCCCCTCCGCTCTGCTCCTCCCTTCCTGTTACTCCTCTCCTTCCCGCTTCCTCCTCCTCCTCACCTCCTTCATCTTTTGCAAAGTAACGGCTTTTCCTAAAAGAATTGAAAGCAGGTCAGACGTAGACGTAAGAGTCAGGGAATGTGCCAGTTGTGCCAATGCCAGTTAGTTCTTGCTTGTGTTGTACTGTAGTTGTAAAGGTGGTTGCCTATCACCGTGCCAACTGTGAAATAATTAGACCCTTAAGAAAGTGGGCGTGTCTTTATCTGTCATCACCTCTGAAAACACACTTGCATATGAACAATGTAAATATGCTGTATGTATACGGTAAAGAGGTCAAGTTTTCTCAGTGTGTATAATAATGATGGGTTGGCTGTTGTGTGTGTTTCTATATGTGTGTGTGTGTGTGCCTGCATGTGTGCTTGCGTGTGTGTGTGTGTGTGTGTGTGTGTGCTTGTGTGTGTGTCTGTGTTCTTTAGCAGGGGATTTTCTGCACATTCCTTTTACACAGAACTGATCTGTGAGGGATTCATATTTCAACACTCGACACCTGCTCTCAACTGCCACTTACGCACTGCTTGCGTGTGTGACACACACACACACACACACATACACACACACACACACACACACTTTAATGATGGCTCTTTAAGTGCAGAAAGACAACTCTTTCTTGTTTCCTTTTTTGACTGTAAAACACTCCTCTATTCCTTCTCTCCTATTCTTTTGTATCATATTCGGTTATTGATTGGTGAATTTATGTTATACTTTTGTACAGATTTGCTTTATTGACCACACACCCACACACATACACACACACACACCCACACACACCTACACACACCCACACACACCCACGCACACACACACTCACACATCTGCTTGGGCTCATTGAAGTTGGGTGTGTGACCGGAAATATTGCAAAGTTGTCTCTACTATTTCCCAGTTTTTTCAGCTTGCTTTTCTGACTTTCAGCTGTGCATCAACTTTCACATTAAATGAAATTCCAGTGAATGAATTGTTAAATGACAACCACAAAAATGCGAGGTGACAGGACAAAAGTAAGGCGTGGTGGACTGGAAAAGGCGAGCGGCGTTTTTCAACTTCCTGACTGGTAGAAGTTGTTATTGCATTGGAGAGAAGCTGCCGCCAAATTAAACTTGCATTTAGATTTCAACATCATGAAGGAGGCAGCTGCTACAGCGCTCTCTCCTGGTCAAATCAGACAAAGACAGGTGAAGTGGTGAATAGCAGTTAACTCGAGCATCTTTTTTTTCTCTCTCTCTCTCTCTGTGTCTTAGGGGCAACAACCCATCAGTAATAGTTCATTCGGGCACAAAGCATCCTCTCCCTGCTGACTCTCCTGATTCACTGAAAAAGCGACGAATTCACCGCTGCGACTTCACCGGCTGCAACAAAGTGTACACCAAGAGCTCTCACCTCAAAGCACACCGCAGGACACACACTGGTGAGAGGCTTCACACACAAGCTTTATTTTTACTCAACTGTGTTAACATCTTAATCCTCTTTTATACACCTTATTAATAATCATCCTCTTAATTTTTCCTCTCTGTGCGCAGGTGAGAAACCCTACAAGTGCATGTGGGAAGGCTGCACGTGGAAGTTCGCCCGTTCAGACGAGCTTACGAGACACTTCCGCAAGCACACAGGAGTCAAACCGTTCCAGTGTCCCGACTGTGAACGCAGCTTCTCCCGCTCTGACCACCTGGCTTTGCACAAGAAACGCCACCTCCTGGTGTGAAACAGTGCCGGGGGCAACTTGAAAGGAACTCGGCGCTGGTTTTCTACGTCGGACTGTACCACTTTGACTTGAGGTTTTTTGTTTTTAAAGAGCTGGGCTTAAACATTGGACTCCAACAGGGAGTGGGGAAATGTTCCTCAGGGTGCAAGTTTTCACCTCATTAGCCTGAATAATGAGCTGGTGTTATCCATCAGATTTATCATCAGCTCTCTTTGACATTGTAATAGAATTGTAGGTGTTGTACCAGACCTCTGATCAACTACGGAAAGTCCAGACCCTTTTTTTAAGAAGAGGCTGCAACATCTCAGCTGGCCTGAGAACAGCGTCCTCTTGTGGCCACAGAACCAAACTGCATTGACACCCGCTGTTGAAGCCACACAGCATGCTCAAGCTTCTTTTTGCATTTTTTCTGCATGCATTCAAGTAAGAATTGTGGACCTACACACACACACACACACACACACACACAAACACACACACACACACACACACACACACACACACACACACACACGTGTCACTTGCTAGCTAGGCCAATATAATGTGAAACTCTCCAGAATGTATCATATCACATCTACTGTGCATTGTGTCATACTTCAGCTTTCTTTCATCAGCGCAGCTACCTGTGACATAACGCTAATGCTAACTCCTCCTTCATGGACCGACCACAAAAAAAAAACACCACACACCTCATCTGCCTCTACCAGCTTACATCATGAAGGTAGCTAGAGGTAGCTAATGCTCGCATTCCCTTGTACATACATGCAAATGTTTAACAGCACACACAGCAGAATACATGCACTTAATAAAAGCAGCTCAGCCTCTGTCTTGTGTGCTTTTGGTATTTGGGTTGAAAAAAACGGGGACTGTGGGTCTCATTCATTGTCAGAGTGAAGTCTTTTTTATGTTTTCATTCAGAAATGTGAAAGTTGCTGCACAGGGGCATTATTGTGTTAGTGAGGAAACGACACCACTCGGTTGGTTTAGGGGTAGGAGCAATGAATTGTGTTTTACCAATGTTTTATATCACAGTTTATGTATCTATAAACTATTGTTTGGTTTGTGATGTGACAACGTGGTAGCCTTTTTTCATTGTATTACGATTTTATATGGGGAAAATACAAAGTGCAAAGCAGGGAAATTTGCTCAATAATTTTTGTTTTTCAGGAGCAGATGAGTTTTATTCCAGTATACCTTACAGGATATCTTAAATAGGATATTTTGAAAGAAAATGACATTTAATTCCAAAGTGTTGAATATTGCAATAGACCATTATGATTCCAATCAAAGGTTGTAAGATAGCAAATTATTTTCTACAACACCCTCGTCTTTTTAAATGCCATCACCACTTTAGAGAGCATGACTTTTTTTTATAGCTTCTGGAGAACAAATAGTTTTGTGTATAGCGGCGTCTTTGTACATCTTTAATGTGCACTTTATATACAAATATACAACCATATATATAAAACATTCCCAAAGCCAAACATTTTTAAATCAGTTTGCTCTATTCACAGATCTGCTGGTCAGTTTGACAGTTTGATCTTTCTAATTATGTAATACATGAGGAAGGTGTGACCCTTTCTTTCAGTCACATGCACACAAACAAACACACATACATACCGAATGTAGCGGCTCAACTGATCTGCATTTGCTCCTGGATACTCTTTGCAGTTTTTGCTTGTATATGTTTTTGTATCTCTGCAAATATAAGTTTCATATATAAATATATATATATATCTATATAGATATATATAATTGATTGTTAGAATGAAAGGGCAATTAAAGGTTTTTATTAAGCATGATTTTGATACTCTCATAATAATGGATATTATACATTTCTATACTGTTGTGTCTATAATAAACCCTATCTCTTTTTAATCTAAATGTTGGCTATTCAAAGGGAACATGTTAAACTGTGAATATGTAACTGTACAGGTTTATCTGCAATTTTGCATTTATTTTAAAACAGAATATTCATACCACTTAATAAACTTATTGGCAATATTTGCAGAATGGAGTGCTGTGTCTTCAATTGTGTGTGTGGTTGTTCTGAAGCGGTTATCGAATTTGTTAGTAATGAAATGTAACTAAGTAAATTTATTTAAGTACTTATACTTCACAGAAGTACTTGTGCTTTACTTGAGTGTTTCTATTTTATGCTACTTCTACTTCATTTCAGAAGGAAATATTGTATGTTTTATTCCACCACATTTATTTTACAGCAATAGAACTAGTAGTAGCAGTAGAATAGGAATTTAAATACATCATAATCTTGTAAAGGATAACATTTTTTTTAAATTAAAGTACAAACAGTACAAGTTTATATTTGACAATATTTAAGTTATGCTTGATATTCAACGCATAATTACGCACAATTACAACAATATACATAAATACAAAGGATCAATTGCACAATGAGTATTCTTACTTTTGATACATATTGTCAATTTTGCCGCTATTTTACATGCGTAAATTTGTTGGTGATGTTGATGTGGAACTCATATCTCTAGCCTAATGGAGTATTTTTATACTGTGGTTGGCTGTTGCTACTTTTTTACTTTACTCTTAATACTCCCTCCACCACTCCTACACAACGCACACAAACACAGTTAGAATAATGATCTTCCCCGTTATAAATTTGAGTAATAAAGTACAGCGAACAGCCTTTTGAAAGACCCCACTTCCCACTTCGTCACTATGTATTTCGGCAGATGATTTGTTATGAGAAACTATAGTTAGATGTGGCCTTCGTGTGTTTTGTGTAGGCGCCATGTACGTGGCTGCCTCAATTATTTGGTTTATTTCATCGGTACCCCACCTATATGTGTCACAGGAAGAAAAAGTGGGCTCGTCCGGGATTTGAACCCGGGACCTCTCGCACCCTAAGCGAGAATCATACCCCTAGACCAACGAGCCGCCGTATTGGTTTCTTCTAAAAATTGCAAATTAGAATATCACAAAATCCATGAAATATTGTGTTTTTTCGCTGTTTTTCTACAGTTATATACTATATACTCCTGTTGTCGAGCCTTTTGACTCGACGTGCCGCGACTCTGAACTAGATTTACTGTATTTCTTAGTCAGACATCAGTGTCCAGGCGAAGCGAGATGACTCACTCTTGCTCACTTCCCGTTTCCCCGTAATCCTTCGAGAGGCTGGACAGCGTGAACACGGTCAGACACACTTGAATTTAACGATTTTTTATGGCAAGTGCCAACGTGATTTGGCCATAGACGTTAACGAAGTATCTAGTAGTTGTATTGTGATTATCGTTCTCCTAATCTAACGAACTTGTACTTACAATAAGCATTTAAAAAAGGCCATGAGGGTGAAACTGAAGGGAAAGCATCTGCTCACGATATTATTTACTCAATTACTGCACGAAAGTACAATTCTGAGGTACTTGTACTTTATTAGAGTATTTTGCATTTTATACTACTTTATACTTTTACTACATTTCAATTCAAAGGCAAATTTTGAAGTTTTTCTACGACTTTAGTTACTTTACAGATTCAGGTTATAAATGCAAAATATTAATCAATGAATCGATAAGGTACATACAAAATAATACAATATAGATATTTAATTTCCATATGTACATGACACAAAACAGACAGACATAAAAATAAACTGCGTGTATTTGTACCCTTACAACATAATATTCCTAAATGATAGAAGAGAATGGCAGATATCATATTTCAAGTAACATTTAGCGTGAGAATGTATTGATGTACTTTTCTTTTTTCTTTTTCTTTTCTTTTTTTTTGCAAAAAACTGTGTAAACTGCAAATCCACAAGCTATTGAGATCCACAAATGCTTTTTTTGCCTCACAAATAGAAAATTGATTCACAAATGCCTTTCTGAAAGTTGTAAATGTTTGGAAGATATTCACAAATGTTTTTCATTTATTTGTAAATGAATTGAATGTATACACAGATACGTTTTATAGGTGGGATTCGTTTGTGTATTTGCAGATCCGTTTTATATTTTTGTGAGTTTACACATTTACTTTTTAGATCTGTGGAAGGTGTTTTATATTTACAGATTACACATTTACACACGGCTTGTCAATCTATTCACACAAATAATACTGAGGCAAATCTACCTCCATAGGAATTGCACTTTTTAGTTAAATTAGCTGCTGTATTAATTGGCTTGCTTAGCGGATTGAACTGTGTTGGTTTACTGTCCAGTAGACCTGTGGCAGGGATTCATTTTGCCGGTTGTTACTCTTTGGTGCAGTCACCTACCGGCCTGCCGACGTGGCGGGGCGGAAGAGGAGCCGCTAGCTGGCACCAAACGGGTGAGTTGCACTGTCACTTTCATAAAAACAAAACTGTCTTTGAGCTTTGTAAGTTTTCTTTCACTGTGACAACAGAAAGACACAAATCTGCAACTAGCTGAAAATGAAGTTTTCACGAATACGCTGCAGTGCTGAGAATGTGTCTGTGAAACTCGTCAAAATGATAACAATCCTCTGAATAATAGCCTAATTGTCATATCGCTTTGAAATAGAACAGTGGTCTTTGTTGACTGTCCGCCGTATATTGTTCTGTATGTTGTCAGGCTGCTACTATTTCAAATCATGGTGTTAAAAGAAGTACAGGAGGCTTTGTGGAAAAAGCTCGTAGTGATTGATTTAATGATGAATTTATTTGGGAGTTACTATGCTACATACATATGTTTGTCACCACAGGCTGTCATCGCAGTTAATGCATCAAATGTAACATTTTAAGTATTATTCTGCTCCAGAATAAAAGAAAATAGTTACATTATAGGCTACTTATTCGACCTTGTATTTCCAGGCTGTTGCAATGTATCTTTTCTCTTTTTCTGGACAAATATTTATTTACCATCTTATACATACAGTGCGTCAGAGACAACAATTTGACAATTTGCTGCCAGGAAACAGCCATAAACAAACTCAACAGTGATAGAAAACAAGAGGATGGCAGTAATCATATGAAAACATGTACAGCAAACCACCAGTAGATGGTGACATTGAAGATGAAATGACAACAGGTGGTGTGGTGTAGTACAGTATCTTATGATTTCTCTGACTCAGTTCACACAGCAGTTTCAAAGTGCAAAACTTAACACATTTTTTGTAAGTTTTTGTCTCATTAATCTCACTTACCATGCAACATTTAAAGTGTCTCAATAAAGTTTTAAATAATGACTTATTATAATTCATTGCATCAGTTTACAATTTCTCTCTATCTACCACAAAGTGTGTACTTTTAGTCACCAGACATTAAAACAGCTGTAACTGTAATCGTCTAATATTGCCTTGAGATAACTTCTGTTGTGATTTGGCGCAATATAGATAGAAATTGACTTCACTCGACTTCACTAAAGTAATATTGTAATGCCAGAAGGCATAAAACCGTAAACCATATTTTACACTACACCAACGGAAACTAAATACATTACAACATTTAGAAAGCAAAGAAAATAAAACAAATATATATACCAGGGGGGGTGAAGTAAGTGATGTTGCAATGGTGGTCACCTGGGTAATGCTGTGTGAATAATGAGAAATGCTGAATTGATTTAGTGATTTTATTTGAACTTTGTGCCAATATGAGGTGGCTGCAGTCTAAAGTATGTGATCTAGCGTTTTGCTGTTTTAATGTTAAGAAGGGCAGTTGTGTGCTTTGCGTTAAGAGTTTTGCACATTGAAATTAGAGCTAATAGTCAGTTGATTAATTGAAAATTTGACTGACAAAAAATTAATCATGATTCAGAGGATCAAAATTTCAGTCAATTATCAAGAAAACAATATCAAAAATGCCCTGGTTTCTGCGTCTACAGTGTGAGAATCTGATCATTTTAACATTATAAACTGAAAATCTGGGGATTTTGTGGAGTGATATTTGGACAAAACAAGGCATCTGAAGAGACCACCTTAGGCGCAATAGAAATGTGATGGAGATTTTTTTCAATATTTTCTACCAAATAATCATCAGCTGCAGTCCTAAAAGAAACTCAGTTATGAAAATGAAATTAAGCCAAAAGCAACTGAAAACTAATGTAAGGTGTTGGGTAATCATCATATACCAGAACACAACCAAAGATCTCCTCTCCTCTTACAGATCACCATGTCCCAGGCTGCCCCCTCTGATGCAGACCCCTCTGCAGACACCACCCACCCACCTGACCAACCCCCCCACACTGAATCCGGCTCCTGCGAGGATGTCCCAGCAGCCCCTGCACCACCCTCAGCCCCTCTGCAGCCTCCTTTGATCCCTGAGAGTTTCAGCCCCCCACAGTCCACCGAGGAGATGACCACAGAGGACCCCACCACCGCGACTGACATTTCACAGGGCCAGACTGACCAACTAGAGCGTGTCGCTGAGGATCAGGTGGTAGAATGTGACCAACCAGTGAGCCTGGAGCCAGACACAGAGGCTGCAGAGGAGGATGCAGAGGTTTGTAGCACTAGTTTCTACCTACTTGTTGAGTTTTGATTATATTTTCTTGACATACAGTGCATACTATAATCTTCAATTTGGGATTTCTGAGGCCAATACTGATATTGATATTTGATATTATAATCTGATAATTACATATAATTCAGTATCAGTTCTTTTACATAAACACACATTTCTCATAAGGAAAATTATAAAAAGAAATTTTATAGAGAGACCTAGATTACCTCAAACATGCATTTGGCATTTCTCCAGTACAATGTCCTGTTACAGATAGGTTGACATATTCACTTACACCAACTTATCTCCAAGAAGCTAACATTGACCAATACATCAGCCTGGCCTGAGTTAGCAGCTAATGCAGTATCTCCTTGTCTTTTTCAAATCATGCATACAAGAGTCATGTTTTCAAATGGATATAGTTAATGTATATGTGTGTGTTTGTGTGGACAGAGGTCACTTGAGGAGAGAGACAAAGGCTGGGGAGGTTGGAGTTCATGGGGAAAATCTCTTCTGACTAGTGCCACCTCCACAGTGGGTACGTCTTCTGCTCTTATTTCTGTTCCTCCATGTCAACTTTCCTCATCAAGCCATTTTTTCCTTTTCTTTCTTGTAGATTCCACTTTCTCCCCATTCTCTGTGAGTGTTTAACTTTGTGTGTGTCCATGTGCAGGTCATAGCCTGACCTCAGTAAAGGTGAAGGCAGGAGAGGCTCTGCGTCTCCACAGGACCTCAGTAGGAGAGGAGGTGCGAGAAGAGGAGGAGGGGGCAGAGGTGAAGAGAGATGAAGGAGGAGAGAGTGGAGAGGCTGACTTGTCCAGTTCAGGGGAGTCTTCTTCTGTGATTGCAGCAGCTTCTAGCAGAGGTGTTTTCTCTACAATCACACATGCTGTGCAGAACACAGTGAGTGACTACACACACACACACACACACACACACACACACACACACACACACACACACACAAAACTTTGACTTTCTAATATACTGTATATGATGCCTCTTCTTCTGCCCTTACTATGCTTGTAGGTTCATAGCTATGCAGTGAGCTAAACATGCTTCTAGTAAAAGTTTAAGATTTGTAGTTTTCACTGTAAAAATGAATTAATGTTGTAACAAGAAAAATGGATTCACAATTCAACTGACTAGCTGTAAAAGTAGTTGTATTGTTCCTCATGTCAGAGTACAAACATGTAAAAGAGCATTAACAGTTAGCCCGATATTAAATTAACAGTTACCTTGAATGCTGTAATGTAGCAACACATTAGCTTCAGACAACTAGAATAGTGGTTCACTACGAAAAAACCCACTAACTTAATAATGTCAAATTTACAAATCACAGAAATCACAGATGTGTCTATAGAACATGTTCCAACTCGGCCATGTGGGGATAGATAAAAGGGAAAAATGCTGGATGTAAAAATGAACAGCGACTGCTGTGGAATGTTGCTAGCAGTGGTCGCTATAGCAACAGAATGTTCAAGTGAACTGGTGGCATAGTAATAAGTTACTATGGTGACTAAAAGCCAAAATTCTGAGACAGCAACTCAAAATTGAAAATTTGTATGTCAAAATGTTTACTAGCTTACTAAATTAGGCTGTGTTTGAAATCACTATATTTACTGTGTGAAACTTACTCCCACAATGGAACAAAAAAAGTAGTGCCCATGACATATACTGTAGCTACACTACTTTCTGCTTATTTCTGCTAATCACACAATGAAGTGCTTTATAATGAAAAGTACAGTCGGGGGGCACTGCTCCCATGGTGACACAAAATGATGATGAAGTGTCAAAATCTCAATTTGCTGCTCACTACAGAACTACGAACTGAGTGTCTCTTATGTAGAGAGTAGTGAGTGAGTAAACAAGGGAGTGATTTTGGACACAGCAGTAGTCCCCAAGTCCACATGTTGATTCAGTATCTCATAATTTTGGATTCAATTGTTTATGTATTTCTGTATGTATTATGTAATTCTAGTAATTAGTTTTATTCATGTATGTCCCATTATTTTTGTCTATCGAAGGGTAAGTCAGTGATCAGTGGAGGTCTGGATGCCTTGGAGTTCATTGGAAAAAAGACCATGACTGTTCTTGCTGAGAGTGACCCGGGTTTCAAAAAGACCAAGACCCTGATGCAGAAGACTGCATCACTAAGTCAGGTATGCAGACTTTGACACACACAACCCACTTACAGTCTCAGACAATAAAAACAATACATCTCCTCCTGTCAGATAAATAATTTAAAACTTGTGTATTGTGTGTCTGTGTGGACAGAATAAGTTGGTGCTTTTCAGTGGAAATACACATTCTGTAATATCTCTTAATGACAGCTGTGCTGCAGTGTTATATTACAGTTTTACTGTGATTTTTCAGATGTTGAAGGAAGCCAAGGAGAAGGAGCGCGCACGTCTGAGCAACCAGCCCATCAGTGCACCCACAGCTCACTATGGTATTCTGTTTGACGACTACCAGGGCTTGTCACACCTCGAGGCCCTGGAGATCTTGTCCAATGAGAGTGAGGCCAAGGTAAGGCACCAGTGTGAGGAATACAGAGTACTTTGCCCAAACAGTCTGTTTAAAATAGTGTTCATTAAGTTGCATATATCTGCTCTTAGGTTCAAGCATTCCTGTCGTCCCTGGTTGAAGAGCAGCAGGAGGAGGTGAAGAAGGAGCTGATTTTAATCAAGGATATTTTCATCAAGCAAGAGGAAGAGGAGGAGGAGGAAGGAGAGGGAGAAGGAGAAGGAGAAGGAGAAGGAGGACAGACGAAGGATAATGGTGATCTAAGTTCCCAATTACACTCTTCTACCCCCCTATGTGAGTGACCCAGACCAAATAACCAGACCTGCTGGAGGAACAGGTGGTCCCTGAACACTGACCCGGGATCAGTTGGCCTCATTATCATTTTCTGCTTAAACTCTTGCAGAGGGACACGTTCAAGTTCTGACACTGGATCAGAAGTTTGAGATCAAAACTGACATTTCACTTTGGTTGAATTTTCCCTTTAGTTTTATACTGTATCCATATCTGGGCTTTTAGCTGACTTTATTGTTTTTTGTCAACATTATGCTATAATCACATATTACATTAATTGTGAGCAGAGCAGAGCACTTGGCAGGTAGGTTGTTTCAAGCATCTACCCCACTCTATCACTATCACAACCAGTGATGCAGATTTTACAGGAAGTAGATGATGATATGCAGCTTGACTTTGCTGACAGCTTATTAAGATGAACAGTACACACTTTTCTGAAGGCCAAAACAAATAGAAAACTACAAGCCAAAAAAATAGTTGACTGTGCTGCTAGCCATCTGTCTCAGACTGTCACATACAGTCTAACTCCTGCTCATCTAACCAGCCAGAGAAACAAGACAATCCTGCCTGATGACAGGTACCTTAGGGGCTGAAAATTATTATCCAGGAGCGGTTGATTTATAAACTGCAATATCTTCCCCAACATTTCAAAATGATACATTTATAACAAACATGACAAGAAGGTGAATATTCCAGCCACTAAATGAGTTAACCAGAAATTAAATAGAAATCTTAGATGATGACAACAACAAATCACATGTCAGTCTCTGTCTGTTTCACTATATAGTGATACAAAAATCAGAGTCAGGAGCAGAACAACAGCCTTACAGCCAGCAGGGATTCGGTTTGGACACTTAATAGGAGAAGCCGAGTCTCAACACAGAATTTTAAACTGCCCAAAGACTCATCTCATTTTCCTTATGTTGGGAAGAAACCCTAAGTCTCTGAGTATACAGAAATAATTTTTCCTGTTTGCAAAAGCCTAGAAAACCTTGGATGCCTATGGGAGGCAGTGTTGGAGGCGTTAGGTTCCAGATCTCTGGTATCTGCTAAGGAAGTAGAAAATGTTCTACCAAAGTGAAATCCAGTGTTGAGGGGATGCTTTGTCACTTAAAATTTTGGTTTCCATCATATCTCACCAGCCGCTTGTCACTTTACATTTTAAAAGCAACATGTAAACTTTTACTGCGTGGCAGGTGCTTCGGGCGATGTCACAGTCGTGCAGAGTTCAAAGCCAGCGGGTTTCTTTTCACCTGGAGGGTTTCACACGGTGCCTGATCCAGTGTTGGTGTTCAGGGGCCAACGACACCTTCACATCACATCACTGATTACAAAAAAAAAAACAACAACAGACACAATCTATCAGATGAAGACATTAAACCTGCATGATCATTCTCTACTTGTAATTTAGATGCAGGAGTTTGCATTAATTTGCACAAGTTCATGTTTCACCAAATCTCTGTTGTGCTGTTAGCTGAAGGCACACAGAAATATTAATATTATAAACTCAGCATGGGGGATATCAAAGCATTAATGGCATGTGGTACAAATCTGTTATAATTTTACACTAAATGCATCTATGGCTATAACAAACAATGTGTGAGTAGAAGTATGCTAACATGACAAGCTTTTATCTTTGTATATGTGTGTGTTTGTGTGTTTCTGCCAGCTGCTGATGGAGAGGAGTTTGTGAGTGTTCTCACTGAGCTGCTGTTTGAGCTTCACGTTGCTGCCACACCAGACAAACTCAACAAGGTGATTCTCATATACATACACACACACACACACACACACACACACACACACACACACACACACACACACACACACACACACCACTTCGACAGCTCCCCTCTCCTGCTGCGGTCTTGGAAGTCATATAAAAGTTATCACCTTTGAAGTCCTACTGCATAATCAAATTCACTTATATAGAACCTACATTAGCATATAATCGTGTAGACGCATATAATTAGCATACATCAGGATGATGATCTCTCACCATGCAGAGCTGATGGGTAGTAATTATGCATCTCCAGGCTCGGATGAGGGCCCATGATTGGGTGAACGAGGTGGAACAGCCTGTCACTACGGAGACAGTTGGCGGGGAAACGCAGGACCAGCCGGGAGGAGAGGCCTCGTCTGTAGTGAACAAAAAGGAGGAGAAGAAGAGAGATGGAGAGGAGCAGGTGGAGGAGATGAAGGGAGAAGAGGAGGAAAAGAAGGAGAAAGAGAACGACCCCAGATCTGTAGAGGTGAGGTCAACTCAACAGTGTGTTATGTGATTTTTTTTTTTAACTTAAACTCCTTATTCCCTGCCCTGTCACAGCATTTGATTAGATATACTGATTTTGTGTGTGTGTGTGTGTGTGTGTGTGTGTGTGTGTGTGTGTGTGTGTGTGTGTGTGGGTTCATCTCCCATTCTCCAGGTTGTCTACCTGTCATCAGTAGGCAGTCTGGCAGAAGTGACGGCTCGCAGTATCGAGCAGCTCCACAAGGTGGCAGAGCTCATCCTCCACGGCCAGGAGTTAGAGAAACCAGCCAGAGACCAGGCACACATCCTCGCTAGGTGTGTGTGTTTGTATATATGTGTGGGCATGTATTAGGAGCACTACACTGGGAGAACCAAGTTTTGGTATAATCTCCATATTTTTTTTCCCAGGCTGACATGTGCCATGTGTAAGGAGGTGGAGTGTTTGGCCAGGAAGTTCTCGGACACTATGCTTCTGGTTGGGGTAGGTGAAAGGGACTGTGCTTGTGTTTGTTTGTGAATAGTAGTGTGTTTAAGTGTCCCAGGAAATCCAAACAATTTGTTGGTCTGTCTTTCATTACACAGCCCTGTCTGAGGCTCCCAGTCTTAAGCCCATTTGTTATACTGAAGACACAAATATTTAAAAACGTTATGCTATAGAGAAAAATCAAAAGTTTATATTGCTTGTAATCCCATGTCCCTGTCCCTGTCCCTGTGTTAATAGTTGTCATGTTATATGCCAAAATAAAAAAAATATTTTTAATGAGATGAGAGATTCCCCCTCTTTTCTCTTCCTGTGAAACATAAAAATATTTAATTATAAATAATGACTCACCTTGAACTCAGGGACGTTTTAATCATTCATTTATTCATCCATTTATTCAATCAAATGTGATTTATTTTTGACAACCACCACATAAAGCCACGTTTGTCGATTAGCTCATGGGTCGCAGCAGCTGGCAGAGCAATATTTTAGTAGCAAGTGTGTATTTGGATCTCAGTCAGCAAAAACCTTGTTAACATTTCCAAAGAATGCGGCTGAGGTCTTATTTATGAATTTCTCCCTCGCCTCCCACCTCCTGATCTGTCAGTGCAGGTGAGGGAGGTTTGGGTGGAGGCAGACACTCTATAGCTGTGTATTTCTCCAGGTTTGCTAAGCACTGTCAATTTTTAAGTGATCCAAACAAATCTCAAGGATTCTATTTGAAGATACAATTATTACCCACCCACATATTTAGTTTCACTGAGAAAAAAATATAAGATAACAGAAGCTGAGGATGGTCGAACTGTTGTTTCACTTTGACTGTAAAGAAAAAAGTAATTTCCTAAAATAGCAGGACACCGTAGTTTTTAGCCTTAGACTCTATAAAGATCGATGTAGCCTGAGTGACGTCACCCATAGGTTTCTGTAGAGCAGTTTTGAAGCTCAGAGTGGGCTACTCCACTGTTGCCATCTTGGCAGTGCCTGACTCTGCCTAACTCCCAGCTAATCCCAAAATGAAAGCAGTGAATGCTGGTTTTTGGCAAGCATGTGCTCACCCATGTGTCACAATCATGCAGTTATATAAAAATTCACCCCCCGTACAGTTATCATGAAGGAGGAAGAGGAAAGGGACTGTTTTCACCTGCAGATTAATATACATTTGGTACAATCGTGATTGTTTACTCGGCAGAGTAATATATGTGAGAGTGACTCAACATAAACAATATACATACAAAAGGACTTTTCTATGTTAGAGTTGCAGCGTCTTTTAGAAGCTGGCCATCTATCTTCACCAACAAAGATCCAGCCTTATTGTATATATAGGATGTGTTTTACCCACTCTGTAAAGCACTGTGAAGAAAACTCTTAAATGCACTGGTTAAATAAAAAACTCTATTCCCATTAAGTCAGTTATTGTTGCCATTGTTTGTTTTTTTCACATTTCATCCATTGTTACTCAAGTAACTTGTTGGCTGGTGAAATAGCGACAGGGTACTCTTCTATGGCAATGAAGGAAAATATCCACCATCTTCCAGCAATATGCAACAAAAGAAAATATCACGTAGTGAAAGTGTGGCTCATTTATGTGTTTTGGAATATAATGAGGGAATAAGCTACTTCCTACTTATGACAATTGTCAGTTGTTTTCTTACCTGGAGTTTGTCAACTGTAAGGAAATGTAAAATATAGCCTGCCTTATCCTTTAATATTTGTAGTTTTTGGTGTGTTTTTCCCATTAAAGTATTTATGTTTATCTCACCGCTTTTTCCTGTCTCTCATCTCTCATTTTCTGTCTCTCAGGGCCAGAAGAAAGCAGAGGAGTTGAATCCACTGGTAGACAGTGTGCTGCTAGAGGTGAGATACGCAGATTTTTGCCTGAAACAATCCTAATTATATATGTATCTCAATTTGTGATAAATGAAACTAATGACGCAGCAGTCTCAGTCTGATCACTGTTAGAAATGTGTTGATCATTGCGAGCGGTGTGATGATTGATCACATTTAACTTGTTAATGGGGAACAAACATGCGCGAGATGTTTTAAGATATATTAGAATAAATGAGGAAAAAACAAAAGACATTCAAAATAGATTTTAAACACCAGGAAGTTAAATTACACTAAGAGTGCAATCAGCATTTTACATTTCAAAAACGGAGCCACAAATAGTGCTCCACAGAATTTTATTTCATGTTTAAATGTTTTATGCTTTAATTCAAAAAGCATTATTCTTTACTAGTGTACTGTATGTTATCCTTTGATACAATTTTCTGCTGTCGTGGAGAATACTAATCTGTTCTATTCTTTGTACTCCTCCTGTTCGGTTGATAATGTCCAATATATTTAGGCTGCACATAGTGTTTTTTTTTTTTTTTTAAATACCCACCAATCCCTAAATATGTTAAATTATGCTTTTCCATGTGGGAAATGATGATGATGATTATGATGATGATGATAATGATGATGGGTTTCCTGTCTACAGGGCTCCAACAGTACCAACTACATCCAGAATGCATTTCAGCTGCTGCTTCCCGTCCTGCAGATCTCCCACATCCAGAGCCAACACTGCCGACCCACCACAGACCCAGCTGCACAGACACAGCACTAACACACACACACACACGTGCCACCTGCTCACCCGCTTGTCTTAATATATCTATTGTTGTACAGTGACTTATAGAGATTAGATTATTCCAGATTACACGCTTATATCAACATTAAGTGCCGCAGCAACAGGCAGAAGATGTTTAGATATGCAGAATATAATCTTGAAGATAACAATTTAATGAACAGATACATGTGGTAATGAGCCACATGCAGGTTGTATGTGTGTTTCTTCCACCTTGTATCTCTGAATGTTATTCTGTCTCTGTTTGATATTTTTGCTTTGAGGAACCAAACATTGTCCAGAGCTGAATCAGTTTCAGCTGTGACTCATTCTGTCTGACAAACAAAGATGTTTCTCTAACATTTCCAAAATACTGAACCAAAAACAAAACATGATAACTGATTGTGTTGAAGGGATTCTTCATTAATGTATATTAAGCTTTCTTTGCACTCCTTGTAATTTTAACAGAAAGAACTTTGAATAACACTAATGAAATGTATGTTTTGCTGAATTGTTCTGAAATCTCGACTGAGACAAAACGCCAGTATTAATGATGATACACCACAATCTTTGTTGTTTCTTTTTCATTTTGTTTTTTTTTTTACGTTAAATTATATGAAGCGACACTACCTTATATTTCACTCTTATCTAGTTTGATTTGAACAGAAAATACTTTGAATTAGGAAACATTTTGTTCTCCTTCTCCCCTCTTGTGTACACTCATAAAAAGTAGTTTGACATTTCTTTGGGAAAAAGCAAATAAGTACATTTCCCACCTTGAAGAAGGCAGTAGCCAAAACATGTAGTGTGTTTAAACTTTTTCTTGCCCTCTGGAATAAAGGCTTTTAATATTGTTTTACCAGGATCACTAGATTTACATACTCTTTGATCCTCAGAGGTAAATATATCAACCATTTTCCGCTTGACAACTGGTGGATTTTCAGCAGCAGTCCTGAGGTGCTCACAGTGCATCTGTTTTTTGAATATCCAGTGTTAAATTGACTCTTACCTTCCAGCCAGCAGTTATTTAGACCTCTCTCTTCCCCTTCTTTACCCCCCCCCCCCTTTAGAAATACACTGATACAGGCAAGAAAGTTATTAGGCAAAGAAAATATTAGTCAGTCCTGTCATAATGTTTTGGCTCCTCGCAGCTACTGCAAGATGGGGTAAGATTGTTTATCAGCCGCGCTTCTGCCTTAGAATATAAAATGATTTGTAATGTGATCTGGAAAATATTTTGGGAGCAAAAGTCATTTATTTAACTTTGGACAGTTTACTAATGTGTTTAGACTGCCCTCTAATAAAATGCCCTAAGACTGTTTGAGGATGACATGTTGAAAATAAACAGTTTAACCATCTTTCATGTGTCTCAGATGTTTTTATTTTCAACATAAAGGTGGCCAGTAAGTGATGCAGTCATTTTTATTTTTCACTTTAGGTCCATTTCTGTGCTCCGCTCCACTGGCTGCTCCTCTGTGAGGGACGAGGTGGATGGATGGCCACGATGATGCAGATTTGCTAAAGATAGACGAGATAGAAAATGTAATAAACAGACTGGAGTTAGATGATGTTGAAAAAGGCCAGGAGGCAGCATATCTTAATTCATAGCTTGAGGTACATTAGATTGCCTGCTACAGTAAATTAATTCAGACTTTACCCATGATGATTATCTTCTAAACTCTGAATATTAAGTATCATCTGCACTAAAACAGGGACCAGATATAGTATCCTCAAAAAGTGAGGATGGAAGCACTGTAATTCATTTTACACCTCTGCTTCACAATATTTCACAGGGAATATTGTACTTTTTACTCCAGTGCATTTATTTAGCCTTAGTTATGAGTAACTTTGCAGATTTTGAATATTAATACAAAATATAATGAGCTCTAATAAAATGCATTTTTATAGACTCAGCAGCAGTACATGAAGTAGTTCAAATTGGCCCCACCTTTGCCTGCTGCAACATTAAAGTCATCCCCACACACTAATGCATCAATAATTAAAATATAATATTGTAATATAGTTTATTATTTTTATTATGATTATTATTATTGTTATTATTAGTAGTAGTAGTAGTAGTAGCCTAATAGTAGTAATATTTTGATGCTCATACTTTAGAATTTTTACTAGGGGAAGGTAACAGGGTCTAGCACTAGGACCCAGGCAAAGGGCAGCGTCTATCCAAAGGGGCGGGATCTCACCTAGGTTATACTTCCTGCTTTGAGACACACCTGAGAAGCTACACACCCCTTTGTTTGGTGTTTGATCTGGTAGGCACCTTTTTAAGAGTTTGTGTTTAAGACCATTAAGCTGTAGCCCCAAGAAATTTTACACTTGGTTCATAATATTAACTGAAACTGAAATATTTGTACTTTTAGATTCTTCATGTTGGGCGAGGGACTAACACTTGTGGTTTCTTATCCACATCAGCCACGACACATTGCCCTTGGTATCATTAATCTATGGTCCTTTATCTTCCAGTCACCTGCATGTCTCTGACTCGGAGGGAATCTGTGTTCCAGTCTAGCAAGGTACATGTTGCTTTATTTTTGACATTGCATGCAATGTTTTCTTTTGGCATTTCAATGTGCTTCTGTTTAGTGTTCAAATAACAAACTGTGGAAAAACCAACAGTTTTTCACAGTTTCATCATGAGATTGTAGTGTACTTTTTACTGAGTCAGTTGTATGAGCCTTTTTTGTGTTTTTATTCAACTTTTGTTTTTTCTTGTGGGTTTTTTTAGTAGCCCTATCAAATGCAAGCTTTATTGTGTGATTTGACTCGCCCTATAGCTTGCATGCGGGTAATTTTGGAGTGGTGTTTTGGATTCAAATTGAATGGCATTAATGTGCCGGCAAACTTTGTGACAAATGCACTAACTTCCTTAAGGGTCCGGTCTAGTGCCACATTATTATTTCAATCATGTATGTATTACTGTCTATCACGCTCTATCACTATCACTGTCTCTATAGGTTCCATTTTACTCTGAATCTAGTGTATCTGAGTATTGCCTGATCGCAGATGAATGCAGGACTTTCACTTGTGCCAGAGTATTTCTGCTCTGTAGTATAGTAAAACAGTCTGAGTACTTCCTCCAACACTGGAGAGTTCTCATTGTGGTCCTCAATGGAAACAAAAATACACACTCCAAGTAGCCTCAGTCAGCTCATATGATTGTTGTAGTGCATTTACCAGTGTAGCAGTGGTCGATATTTCCATCCAGCAGGGTTTCTAAGTCCTCTGAAAAATGCACATGAAGACTATTAACACAGAAACTCACAGATTTCATCTGCATCTGGTCTGATGGATGCGTGTGTATGTATGATTCCCTACCCTGAGAGTCCGCTTCTTCAATGGGTGACAGTTCTGTCCATTGGAGAAAAAAAAGAAGCAAAGGACTGAAACAACAGATCAAATCATGTTCTTCCAAACTGTATGTATACATTTAAGAACTAACCTGACCAAAGCCGGGACCGATAGAAGTGAAGGTCTTCCCCTATTGGTCAATAACAGGCCATTAGAATGTCTTCAACTATATATTTATGGAGAATTATTGTACAATTTACCACAGTTATTTACCCTTGGGAGTGATGATTTCTGTGTGCTTCTTTCCATCTAGTTGAAACATCATCAGAAACATACAGTATATTGGACGTCTTCGTTATTACACATAATTCTGTTCTGAGAAACAGACTCAGACTGTAAAATCCAGTTTATCTTCATAATTGTCTTTGTGGTCTTATCTGCTCTGTGCTGAAAAGTGAGCTGATTTTCAGATGAACACAATATGGTCTGATACAGTGATACGTGATTAATATGACTATCAGGAATGTGTTTTAGACTGCATGTACATCAAAATAAATAGAAGGAAGTTTGATTTTATTCTAGATGCTAATTGACTCATAAACCACTGCAGTAGAAGATTGTCAGTTCACCTTGTGTGTAAATTCAAATGCATTTTCACTGACATAATTTGCTATTGGATAACAGGGTGTAAGAATAACTTAGAGAGAAGTGAGAACATGTGACCCTGGGTTTATAATGCGTGTACACATACTGTTAAAAAAAGGGAGGCATAAGGAAAAGTGTGAAGTAGAGTAGAAAAGTGTGTTTAAGAAATTAAAACTCAGGAAATTTACCCTTGAACTGCTGACCAGTAAGGTTGCAAACAGGGCTCTTCGTGGGCTTTTCTGACAAAGAACAAAAAAAAAATTTCAGGTCAACTTCCAAAGATCAAGTATCAACACAAATATCATGTGTTTCTCTGTGTCTTACTGCATGAGCGTTTGTCCAAGTAGATCTGCCCGAGCACAGTTGTAACTATAGTCAGGAGCACCACACACAGCAGAACCAACCAGAGCACCCTGAATATGCACCACCACTCATCTGGAGGATAGAGAGGGATTCATTAATGATTTTTATGTAAACGATTTATCATTTATTCTATACAATGTGAGAAAACTATAGAAATGTCTCACAATTATCCAGAGCTGAAAAAGGAGCTTGAATATTCTTCAAACACCCTTCAAGTTATTTGTTTTGTCTGGTCCCAAACCCAAAGATATTAACTTAAAATTATATAAATGCAAATGTTTGGCAGTTTTGCTTGAAGAGTGACTTTAGCAATCTATTCATTATGAAAATTAATCGATTAATCAAGTAATTGTCTCAGCACTGACCTGTTCTCCTCATGAGATTTGAAAATGATTTGAAATTCTTATCCAAACACAACAGATACATAGAAAGGGATATAATTGGTAAGCAAGCGATGGGAGAAAAATAAGTACAGGATACTGTGCATAAGGAGATAGACAAGAGACAGAAATAAGAGAAAAGAGAAATAATACTACGAGGTGAAGAGTAAGTGCTGACAAAGAGCAGAAAAAGAAAAAGAGTAAATGGAAAAGTGTGGTGGAGATGGGGCAAAAAATAAAGTGAGATGGATTTCCAGCTTTCTTTGTGTACACTGGAAAATATGACTTAGTCATAGCTTTAAGCATGGAGGAGTGTTGGAGAGCCGACTAGAAAGAGAAAAAAGCCAAAATCAATACAGCCTTGGAGATACAGTAGATTAAGATGTACTGTAACTCTCGGAAAGTGTGACCGATCATACAGTACACAGACAGAAAGAGAAACAAAGCTGAAATTGGAGTACAGAAGAAGAATTGAGAGAAATTCTTTCTATTGAAAAAAATGATTCCATTGTGGGTTTGAATGAGACTGAATCACTTTCACCTAAATGAAAACTGAGTGGCCTATTTCCTTGTCTCTTCTTGTCTCCTCTCCTCTCTAATCTTAAAATGAAGCCACACTGACCACATGGGGAACAAAGAGGCTCTGCTCTCTCATCCTGACACCAACCTCTCTGTGTCCGTTTCCATGGCAGCTTTTCCTTTGCTGTTGCAGTCGAAACTGTTTGATTGGCGAGCCAAAGGAGACAGCGGCTTTGATTGGCTGCCTCTGAGGTGGGCAGGACAGGGAGACAGCAGTAAAATGCCTTCTGTCCTTCATCACCCTTCCTCTTATCCTCCTCTTCCTCTTGCTCCTCAGGTGTGTGGAGGTCTAAGGAGCTGTCATTACTGTGGCCATACAAGGTGAGATTCAGGGTCTCTGCATCACTGAGTTGAAGCTCTACTGTCACTTCCAGATGTACCTTTTCAGGTGTGGCTAGATAGATAGAAAATTGATTATTATTTATTATCATTATATTTTGAAAAATAGTTATTTACAAAAATGACTTTAGTTATGTATATCTTTTTAGACAGTGGGCTATGAAATAATGGGCTATTGTTCTCTTACTTTTTACAGTCATTTCAGTGTCGTCACAGGTTATATTTTGTTTGTCTTTTGATTAAGTGTGCCACATGTGGTTTGACCTATTTCAAAGCTGTTGTGAAAAAAACATAGGCTATGTCTTCTACCATGCTCCCCTGTTTGTACCTTCATAATTATTTAGTGATGTAAGTGTACTGGATCTTTAAAGAGTTCAAATAGATGGGTGCAGACCCAGTAGTTACTCTGAAGGCAAGCATTAGTCACTTGAATTTGATTCGGGCAGCCATGGGTAGCCAGTGTAGGTTGATGAGTAGCGGAGTGGGATGATCAGCGCAGATGCACTGCCACTTTCTGGACCATTTGCAAGGGTTTCACTGTGCACAAATCGGGGGACTGCCAGAAAGGCATTGCAGTAGTTGAGGCAAGAGATAAGCATGGCCTGGACCAAGAGCTGGGTGGCATACTGAGTCAAGTAAGGTCTGACTTTTCTGATGTTGTATAGTTAAAAACCACCCTCTCCATACACTTAGATAAGATCTAAGTAGAAGTAGTTAAGTTACCTTAACCTGTTTGAATGCACCATAACAGATAACAGCATGGTACTTGAAGGAAGAGTATTTGTTTGGAGGCAACAGTTGAGTGAATGTGCATTTGTTGGAAATTAGGAGACCGGTCCCACTTCCTCAGCCGGACATAGGGAGGTATGGGAGAATGTGTAGTTAGTGGAAAGCGCAGCTGGGGTAGCAATGTTTTCAGGTTTGATCCTGAAGTCTTTATGAACACCAGAAGCTCAAGGGATAGCCGGATAGCATAGCCATAAATGAAATCAGTTTTATTAACTCCAGACAGTTCATTGGTCCAACAGAGAAGGAGACACATGTGAGTGAGGTCTGTTGCAGTGAACGGAGATTAGCCAGTTTTCTTTGCCCTTTAGCATAATGATACTTTTTACGTATGCCAGATACCACTGAGGTTGAGGGCTCACGCTTCTACTGACGCTTCAGCGACAGTCTGCTATTGGAATAGCATGAACTGAATTGAACACAGCTGTTCATGCATCAGGATTGATTGCATGCACCTGGGTACGCCTTTCCAGAAATAATGCACAATTAATGTGCTGAAAATTGATGTGAGGTGAACAGCATTATTTCTCTGCAAAGGTGTCACCACTCAAAATACACTACAAAAACATACAGTTCTCTCGTGGTTGTACAGTGGTGTTCACTTACAAACTATCTTTGGCTTAATACAGACACCAGCTGCAGAGAGCACAGTAACCACAGAAGACAAACTTGTTATTTTTCTTGTTACATTAGTTTCAGCTGATCTAATCTGCTGATGATGATTATCAGATGAATGTGAGTGTGAGTATTTTGCAGACCAGGAGCTGTAACCAAAATGGAACCAGCCATTGGTTGATTGTTGGGAAATGTCATTGGTTTTGCAAGTATTTAGTAATAAGTATCAGACAAATTTAAACTCTGACCTGATGATGTTGCTACATGAAAAGTCAGGGGATCACAAAAGTCATCACAATTTACCCAGAAATGTCTTTAGGATTCATTGTCTGGGGACCATGAATGTCCGGACAAAGTAGTGAGCTGGACAAGCGACCGACATTGTCGTCCATAGAACCATGCCACTAGTATCACTAAAAACAACGACTTATCTTTAACGTTAGTTGCGCAATACCTGATGATGAGTTGATGTTGTGCAATTCTGCCATGTCCATATCTGTTTGACACATGAACCAGCTCTTTTCTGAATCGTCATGCCCACTTTCGGAGTCCGATACAGGATCTGTCATGTTGCTTTGATTCCCTTGTGTGCAGGCCTGCTCCCACTTTCCTCGCTCCTCAGCCTGAGAAGGGTCACACATATCCGTTCTCTTAATTTCAGCATCCCCGATCTTGCCATTCGCCCCCTTCCTCACCTGATTGCCTCGCTCACAGGGTCGGTAGGGCAGACAGAAGAAGTTAACTTTTGATACTAAAAGGATAAAGAGAATGAACAAGAGAAAAGTCAGATTTCTCAGTAAGAGCGGGCTTTAAGTGGAGAGACATCAAAAGGCTCAAAAATCAGTGGAAAGTCTCAAAATGGAAGTTGTTGCCTCCAGTTTATATCTGAAGGCGTGAGGCAGAAAGGGGAAAGCAGAGAGGGAAAGACAAAAAGCAAAACCATTGAAGGCAAACACGTGCACAAGTACAAAGGGTAAAGCATGTTGTTCTCAAAAAGAGAACAAGCTTTTCAAGGCAACACAATACGGAAACATTTTCAAAGCTGCTGTCATTCAGTGTTGTACGGAACTATATTTGAGTCTGATTTTTATCTCAGAAACAAGAAAAAAGAAAAGGTCGAAGCAGAGTGAGAGGAAGAAACAAGACAAAGTGACTCAACAGAATAAAGTTTAGTTCTTTTTAAGGTTGGCTTTTGCAAGAACTTGAACAAAGTTTGAACAAAACATAAAGCAAACAGCTCCTCATTTTCAATGCCTCAAAAGGTTGTGAACTGATAGTAAGGACATAGTCCACACGTGGACATAAACAAAAAAAAAAACACACAAATAAACACAGACTGACATTGGATGACCCACCTCTGTATAATGTGAAGAATTCTGGGAGGCAGATGATGAAGGTGAGGATCACGAGGATGAACAGTTTAGTCAGTGCTGCTCTTGACATGGTTGCAACATAAGATCACACACACACACACACGCGTACACTGACACACACATCTTCATAAGATCACAGGCATGACTTGTGGCTTGTGGAGTCTCCGTCCTCCTCTTAAACAAACACGCTCATTCATACTCCATCACTGCCCATCAGAGTAGCCTTTGGTAGAGTTTAAGAAGCCCTGAGAATATGCTCATAATTCATATAGAGGCAGACGCCCAAAGCAACGAGGCACACTCACACAATACGAGGCAAGTCAACACTGCACTTCCTATTACACTTCCTGTCATTTTCTCAGAAAGAGTGAGAAATGGAGAGCTGCACCAAGAGCAAAGAGTTTCTATCAGCAGAATGTAAGTAGAGATGTTGTCGTGTCCGTTCGGGTGCTTGTGTAAGGGATGGTGTGTGAATGCTGATCCTCTCTTCAGAAGAGAGGGACAGACTTTATTAGACACAAACAAAGATGATCATGTGTTGTTTATGAGTGGACTCTTTGTGTAAAGTGAAATACGATTATGTCTTTCTCTGTCCGTGTAAAACATAGAAAGGGGTTTTTAAAAGAGGAAAATTCGGAACATGTATGGTAGACTGTGTTAGTGAATTACTGTATCAGTTGCCTGTGTTAAAATGAGGAGAGAAACAAACTCCCCACATTCTTTTTTTTTTTTTTTCCCATGTTTTTCGCTTCATTGTAAGGAACTTTTTTTCATGATTATGACTCAGTGCCATAATCATGAGATAACGTGACATACTAAGTTATAATGATCAGGGTTTTAATATTGAGATACTAAGTCATAATTCGAAGAACCTTTTCATAATTATGGAATTATATGTCAATTTTCCATTAGTCTTAATTATGAGACCCAAAACGATAATAATGAAAAGGTTTGATACTAAATGATAACTATCAGAAACTTAATGATGGATAACAAAAGATCAAATACAAAGTCATAAGTATGAGAAAGTTTATCATAATTATGACTTTGTATCTTATTATTGCAAAATATTATCTCTTACTGTCTCATCTCAATTGTACGACAGTTTCTCATGATTATGAACTACTAAGTCATAATTATCAGATACTGCAGTAATTCATATCAAATAATAAATCATACGCAGGAGAATATAATTATATTTATATGTTAATATATATAATGATATATATATATATATTATATTTAGTATATCATTTTGAGATATTATGAGAAGGTTTCCACACAATTATGAGATACCAAATCATAGATATCAGATTCATATGTTAAAGGTCAATGTCAGTTTCTAATAATTCAGATGATTATCAGCTACAATTTTTTTCTTTCTCATGATTATGATTCTCAAAGTTATAAAGATAAAGAAAGCTTCTCATGATTATCAGATATGTCAATAATGAAAATTTGGGTGTGGTTTTAATTTTTCCACGTGGCCTTCCACTGACCTCAGTCGCACTCCTTTAATTAACGGCAGCACACAGTAGAGAGCTGCCGGGTAATTCTATTGCTGCTGGGGAGGAATGACCTTTCTGTTCATCTTTTCTTTCTCTACTCTCTCCTGAAAATAATATGTATTTTTTCCTTTGTACCGTCTGACTTGATCTCTGTTGGGTGTTTAGTGTAGCTCAGATTTTATGGTTGGGTTCCTGAGAGCCACTTATCTTGGCGGGACTGGGACCGGCACACACATGCAAACACACTCAGAAGCTCAGACAAACACATACTCAAACACACAAACACGGTGATAGGCATGGCTGGCAGGTGGAGCCTTATCTCCACTCCACAGCAGCTTGCCACTCTCAGGGCTCAGTCGGCAGCTTATAGAAGTGATGGAAGCAGCCAAAACTAAAAAAATACAAAAATCACTTTCTTTGCTTTTAGGTCAAATCAAAGCTGCTCAACACCTCAGGCTTTTCCAAATGTTTGAGTGTATGGCTAAAATCTGTTTATCACTACAGTGTGTGTGTGTGTGTGTGTGTGTGTGTGTGTGTGTGTGTGTGTGTGTGTGTGTGTGTGTGTGTGTGTGTGTGTATATCTTCTAGAAATTCTGTATTCTGGTCCTGAATACAGTCAAACCAAAACATTCCCTCATCTGTATTGTTTTATTTTATGGTTCTGTGATATTTGATAGTTACCAAAAAATGTCCAAGAATTATCCTGGAAAAAAAGAACTGCCTACTTTGGTCATAATTAATGCGAGGATAGAGAGTGTTCGACTGGTATATTCAAAATGAATTATTTATGAATTGGTTGAGTCTTTTACAGTCAGTTTACGGTGAGTAACATTTTATGCACTTTTCAAAACCACTGTGAAAATGCTTGACAGTTTACAAAAAGATGATAAAAGAAGCCTATAAATAAATAATTTAAATCAAGTTGAATTAATAATTAATTACATTTGAAATCAAAGACAAGCACATTGTTTACGAATAGGAAGAAATTGGAGTAAGGAAGCATCAATGTTTTTTCTTTTTCGTCTTTGTTAAATCAGCTTACGAAGGTTGAAAAAAAAATTAAATGTTTTCATAGCCATGCATACAATTGAATTTTTCTTTTAAGAGAATCATTTTGTAAATGACACACCTGTAATATTAGGTGTTATCAAAATTTCTTTACTTTCTTTAATCGGAAAATTCTTTAATTAATTGAACAAGTGGCTCTGCAGTTCAGCCACCATTCACCCTTCAATTCACAAACAGGCTGTGAGTGATGATTTTGGACCACAGGTTGTGATGTGTTTCATGCACTATACAGTAGGATTTACACCACAGACACCTATGTGATAAAGGCTCTTACTGTGAATAATTCTGTGTGTCTGTCATGTTCCCTGGGAGATTATTTTGTCCTTTAAGTCAAACTGACTTTATCCACATTTGCATGATTTTCACTTCATCCTTCATTATGAAAAGAGGTTAGATATATTAAAAAGGTAGAAAGACTGAAGTTTTATTCTCTTCTGTATATTTTATGCTCTGTGTGTTATCTCACAGCTTCACGGCTCCACTCAGATGGTACAAACTGAGAGTTAGAAGATAACGGAGGGGAACGAAACGTCTGATCAAAATGTCTGTATCAGCTGTAGTTATAGAGTGAAATCGAGTTTTCCACATTTTTCAGGGAAGCAGCTGGAGTCTCCTTGAAACCCGGTTCGAAAAACCAAGGGTGTGGACTCGCCTCCTTGTTGTGTTGGTGTGTGTGACTAGTAAACTACTGTGTGATCCTGCTGTGGTTAACTGACACCACTGACGCCATTAACAGGAAGATAAACCCTCCTTTTAGTTTCACACAGCGTGACTCCAAGGTAAGATGCCCCTTCACTGCCAAACTTTCATGTTGTTAGTTTGCCAGAAGTGTAATAAATCATAACCGGGGTTGATTGGGTGGAAGTGCCAGCAGATGGACTTGGAAGATGTAAATTTGAGACCGGCTGAAGATGCCCGGTCTCAAACACTCGTGATTCTGGATGTTATACTCTCTGTTTTAGTGTTTTTTGTCCCTGTAGTAGTAGCAGCAGCAGGGGCTAAGTATGGGGATGTCAGCTGGCTTGTCAGGGTCAATCTGTCTGACCTTTTGGGGCAAGATATCTTGACAAGTAGTGGCCAGATTGCAATCAGAGTTTGTGTGGATAATGACACCCAGGTCATTCATCAAAATTCCCCTTCGCTAACACTGTGGTCCTACACAGATTTTCCTTAAAGGAATTGTCTTCTTTTGAAATAGAGGGAAAGAGCTAACCTGGCTCTGTCTGAAGGCTCCTCTAAAGCTCACTAATTTAGACTAATTCTATCTCATTTTGTCAATCTGTGCAAGTAAAATCACAAATGGTCGTGTTCACACTATAACTGTTGTAATGATTAAACAACGAGATGTATAGTTAATATATTAATCAGTGAGCTTTAGAGGTGCTGGTAGGTGGATTTTTTTTTGTGCTGCTATCCACCTAAATGTTTCATTCTCCACAAGATTTCAAAATCTGTAATGGCTTGCCATGAAATTCACTGAGCACATTCAAGCTCCCAAGATACATCCTTTGATTTCAGTGGCTCCATGACCATTACTGTTTACATTATCGATGTTTCGTCTTATTTAAAGCAAATATACTTACAGTTTTGGCACACCTTCACATCAACTGAATCATTTGACTTGATCAAACAGGTGATTTGTTAACTAGTAATGTGTCTGAAGTATCTGTGACATATAGCCAGCTGTGCTCATCTGTCACTGCAGTTAGAGGCTCTGATGATGAACACAACAAGGCTGTGCAAATGCTGACTGCTGTGTGTTTTTCTATGTGTGTGTGTGTGAGCAAAACGGTGAGAAGACAGCAGTCCTTATCAGCACTAAACTTCTCTTCAACATTCAGTAATTTCCTGAACATCAACTATACATCCTACCACTACCCTCTAACTGTATGCGGTGTCGCCACGGACACGGCTATTTCTGGAGCTCTGCATTACTGCAGAATCTGATGCAGAGAGTTTAGAGACTGGATGTAACAGCATGAAGAGATTAGGGATTTAGGTACAAGAGAGAATATTTAAGAACAGGCTACGCTCAGCAGGCTAAGCGCAGGTTATGGTTGTATTTCAGGCATTAGATGTTGTGTATTTGATCTTCCCATCATGTCGTCACTGTGATGTCTGAACTTAATCCTTGGATCTGCTTTAAATGGACACAGTGATGTTCTCGGATAGACTAAGGCATCAATAGGTAGAGTGATTTGAAATTCCTTCTCATTCTGTTACCCATTTTTGTTTTTTTTTTTCATTAGAAAAGGAGAAAAATTAGCAAAGATCAGCTGGAGAGTTAAAACCATTCTTCAATTTGAAGATCATCTCCTTTAGGTGATTTTAGTCGTCTAAAAAGTGTTGCGTGGCTGGTTTCAGATGCCAGAACAATTTATCTTTTGGAAACAGATGACATGTTGATGACAAGTGATAATTGCTTGTTTTCTCAAATATTTCTTGTATTTCTTGTATTTTTTTTACATCATTTTTTTGTTTCATATTGATGGCCTCTTCTGTTCCTATAGTTTTCACATGGATCACTTATGCTCAACTTTTTATTACCTGAGTGATGTGTGTTTTCTTAGTTTATATTTAGTGGCTTAGTGGGCTCTGTAGCTTTACTAACATGGATCTGTGAATATGTTTGTATATATGTTTGTGTGATACTTTTACTGAGATTGTTTTGGCAGGAGGCTTCTGATATGTTGTGACCTGTCTTGCTTGTCTTTCTGTTGGTATTTGTCACTGTGCGT